AGTACTTAATAGATTCAAATTAGTTTACCAATAAATATTTTTAGATATTATAATTAACATATTAGTAAAATCGTGTGTCTTTAACAAAAAAAGAAAGTGTGTGTTGCTGTAATCACTACCAACAAATGAGGCTAAGGATTCAAACTTTGTGTCATCACAGATCATGAATTCTTGTCTTACTGTTGTTCTTTTAGTAGGATCAGGAATCGATTTCCCATTCGAATGGCTTACTCAAGGTCAATTATATTTGCCCTGTCTGCAGCTATTTCCTGGCCAAAGCCTTAACTTGAAGACAGGGGCCCCGGAGTGAATTTCATAGTTGTTGGCTCCATTGCTTTGCCTAATTAAGTTCTGGCACTGAAAAGAATGATCATCTCCAGCTACAAATACTTCTCTTACAGAACAACTTTATTGGATATCCTACCATTTCAATAGTATCTGTTCCGACAACAAAGGTTGTTGGACAAGTGTAAAACAACTCTGTTCTTGGTTGGGGAGATTTTAGGTGATCACTACAACCATCCCATGCTTGAAAACAAGACCCATTGAGGATGTTAAAGCTATGGTGGCCAAGTTTGTCCAAGCCATCAAAAGCTGTTGTTTTCAGGGTTACAAGACACTGCACAACTCGAGTCTTGAAAAAATAATGATAATTCCTTCAAAGAATGCTAGCTGTTCTTTGATTTTTATGAAAAAAATGATGTTGAACTTAAGGTCACTTTGGCTAATAGCACTAAATCTTTAACGAATCTTGAATTGACATAGACTTATTTTACAAGTTTCAGAAATTTGTTAGAAGAATACAGTAGAAGTAACGATATTGTTGATTCCCATAGCAGTTTCGAAGACTACAGCGATACTTCAATATTTGTAGTACATAACAGGCATATTTGATTTCATATCCCATACCCCTCCCTCCTTCACATACTCTAAATACCTTGCAAATTCTGGTTTAGCTGTTGTTTTCCTTTTGCGCCGGCCGTCGAAGAGGCTGAAAAGTGGGTGACTCTTGCTCTTCTTTTTAGTGGACTTCACCTGGGAATTGGATGGCAAGGCTGAATCCGGCGCTGCTTTTCTTGATGAACAGAAAAGTCCAGCTGGTAAGCTTGTGGTCCTCGACAACTTGCCTCCCAAGAGACTAACATCAGGTTCATCATCAACTAACGGTTCATACCTCCACTGGCTTCTCCGTACACTGAAAGCTCTAAGCATGGCCATGGTGCGATAAAGAATGGATATCCTGAAGCCTGCAGGACTATGAATTTTTCACAGCACAAATATAAAGCAGCGGGGTAGGTAACGGTCGCTAACAACTGCTTAGTTGGTCGTACATGGTTTGCTGGATCTTTTTCTTCTTCTTTTTTTTTTTTTTCATTTTTGTGTGTTTTTTGTCAGCTTCGGCCACCACACATTGTAAGACTATCACGGCACTCTTGAGAATAAAAGATCACCACATACTCTAGCTTTAACCAATTGACGTTGCAAAGGTTGACCTTTGTCCCAAATTAAAATTTTTGAAATTAATTGGTACTGTTGCCTCCTCGTCTCATGGTGCCACTCTTACCAAACATGAAGGAATAGAGTAACATAGTCAGCAAAATTCAACACTCACGTTTTTATTTCTCTTGATGAAACGTGAATATGTGGGCCAACAGGGAATTAGTACAGGTAACCGATCTGGACTTCTACTCCTTTAGAGGATTTGGAAATTTTGGTGCGCAGAAATAATTAAACATCAAAGCACCTTCCCAAGAAAGTCAGTTAGGGAAGTTAGATGTAGACTTAATACAAACTTGCATTCAATCTAAAACCAATTGACAATAGATGAAGTGACATTCCTTATATTTAACCCACAAACTTCTTGCTTTTATACTCGACGTGGGATTTTCCCACTTAACATGTTCAGTGCTCCTCCTGGGCAGTTGCAGGGTGATGTTTCCATTTTCAGCTATTTGGTTGCGGTTTCTGGGCTCCTGCTTCTTTAACCAGTTGCCTCTTCTTCATTACTTGTCAACAGAATCCCACTTTAAGAGTAGCATATAATTCTCAGGCTTATCAGGTTCTAATTCCAATAGATGCTTGGCAGCAAATTCTCCCCTTGCAACATCTAGATTCAGATTACAAGCATTCGGCAATATTGGTATCCGCCATACTGCAGCTGTTGACCCCGTACCATTTCTTAATCATATCATCGTACAGATTTCATGCTTCATCATCTTCCCCGCTTAGCCAAGGTATTAAAATGAAGCATGCATGATGTTCTTAACCTGGATCAAAATCTTACGTTTTCCTCACTAAATAAAAACACTCCCAGCCACATCAACCAGGGTAACCCTACTGTTCAAGGCAGTTTCGACGAGGCCATCCAAGGTTGCTCCGGTGTCTTTCATGTGGCTACCCTATGGACTTTGAATCTCAGGACCCTGTGATATGACAAATTAATAACTCTGTAGTTAATCACGCCAAATATTAATTAAAACAAACCTTGGCGTTGACAGAATGTACTAAGTAAGCCGACAGGGGATGGTGCACTGCAGTAGATATTGTAAGGCCATGTGCCAAGGCAAGAACTGTTCGCAGGTTGCTGGTTGGGTCGTCTGCAGGACAGTTTTCATGCAAGAAAAACGGTGTCGTGAGTGGGAAAAAACCTACTGGTGTCATGGGGATTTCGTAGAGATGTAAAGATGGCTGGATGGGCATATATTATGAACAAATCACAAGTAATTAATAATTTTTGGTTCTCAACTTTCATATTAATATTGTGATGGAAATATATATTTATATATACGTACAGAAGTATTTTGCATTGAGAACTTTGGCAGAAAAGGCTGCATGGAAAGCAACTATAAGAGAACAACATTGAATTTATCAGCGTCACACCAACTATAATGTCGGCCCCTTCATCATGCCCTCCATGCCACGCAGGCTCATGACTGCACTTTCCTTAAATCACTTAATCACTACATACCAACTCTTCTTCCTTCATTAATTTTCCTCTACCAGTATTCTTATTATCTAAAATTACATACAGATACTACAGGGTTAAGCTACAATTATCAAAAGAAATGATATTTACTTGCTATAATAGAAACATGCAATTGGCCGACATAGACTTCTACCGCTCTTCTGAATTGAATTTGTTCCAAGCTTCCTGGACATCATCAACCAACAGAAACCATTAGATAGGAAAATCATCATAGATGCAAAGCAAAAGGTTCTATGTGATAAATGCATGGGGGGAGTAGTAGATGTTCTTGAGAGTAGGGACCATTAGGCTCAAGTAAAGGCAGAAAGTGACGGTCATTTTTTTAATGTTTAAAAGCCAAACAAGACAAACAGCTCCAATCATTTGTCCTCATTATTATTATTTTTTTTCAGCAGTGGCGCTGGGGGTTGGGAGAGAGGGGTAAGGGTGGGGTTGGTTGTGTATGTGTTAAGGTGTGAGGCTTCAACATAGAAGTGACGCCACAAGGCATTTACTCTGCCTCCAACTTATCATTGTAGCCACACAAACTTTTGGTGGAGCGCACAGGAACAGGATATTATATCCTCTAACTTGACATCATATTGTAATCCATATGCATGCTTAAGAAATCTCAAGTGCAGTTACTGTTAAAAAGATTATTATAACTCTATTATGAAAGAATAATAGCATGCTAGTAACGGACCTTTAGAAGATCAAAGACCTTCTCACAAATGTACTTTTGTTGAATACTGGCGCCCCGTTGTTGTAGTTTATCAGGATGAACACTGAGAGTGGCTTTCCTGTAAGCCTTTTTTACAGCAGCTGATGTGATAACTTCTGTCAGTGGAATTGGCTGCCAACCACTATCAGGCCCAAGAATCTGCCAATGAATAAAACATTGGGTTAAAGTAACTACTTTTACATCATCATTGTCATTATTATTATTGAAGCTCATTTCTAGTACTAAAGCAAAAGGAGCCACCAGCCAATAATCCATCGGCATCAATGAACCTACATTTAACATCCTAGTTAGACACTTGGAACACACAAAAGATAAATATTTCTTCCAGTTATAACTAAGAGATAAGCCATCCCTTGAGTAAATAAGATATCTAATCATTACAAATACCGATGAAAATCTTTTGCCATTGGAAAAGGAACCAAACCACATCTTATGCCTGAACAGATGTGGGAGAATACATACATATTGCAAAGTTGAAAGCAGCGCCCGGAGATTGCCCTCTTTCCCACTCAACCACCTTTTGACATCCGCATCCAGAGTTTCAGCTAGTCTCTGTGAACAGAGTAAATTACAGGGAAATTAGTTAAAATAAATGCCAACACCATGCAAGTTCAAGAAATTTCTTGAGAAGACAGTCAATGAGTACATTTCTCTCTGCTTGCTCTCTTTGAGCAAGGTGGTCACGCATATTCTTCTCAGCAAGAGCTTTTGCCTGTAACAGAGAAAAGCAGAGGTCATTTCAGCATGTATAAATTTAAATTAAGTATTTCCAGCTGTCTGGGAGAATGAAAAACATACTGCACGTTCAGCTGTCCGTTGATATCTTTCCAGTCTAGCTTTACACCTCTGAGCTGATTCGCCTTCAACTCCTTCATGTAGAGAAAATAAATGGTTAAGAATCAGAAAAGCAAAGGCAAACAAAATTTCAAAACAGAATTTAAACATATGTTGTTTTATAAAGCTTCCAAAATCCAGACTCCAGAGTACCAAAAATATAAAAGTAATGCTTCTCAAAATAACTTACCATTATAATCTGAGGAAAATCTTGAACCATTAAAGGAACCAGTGCTCTGAAATTGCTGATTCTGCAGATCCTGCTGATTGACAATCATTAGAATGCTGTCTAGGATTAAACCATATATAAAAACAAATGAGAGGCACCACTCACTGAGAATGAAGAACATGTTCCCATTCCAGTATTTCTGGAAAAAGTAGAGAATTTATCTGACACAGATCTTCCTACTCTTTCTCTTGCCTCAAAAGCAGCCCTTTCAGCCATTGCCTTTTCCACTGCACGCTCCCGAGCCTCTGCAGTTGCTCTCTCTACAGCAGCACGCTCAGCTCTGAGCCTGGCATCGGTAGATGACTTCTCCCTAGCCTCTGCAGATGCCTTCTCTAATCTTTCACGAGCTTCCGCCATTGCTCTCTGTCGAGCTTCAGCTGTTGCTCTCTCCAAAGCTGCCCTTTCAGCCCTCTCACGGACTTCAGCATATCCCCATTCACGGGCTTCAAGTGTCACTCTATCAACAGCCATCCTATCCTTTTCTCTTTCCCGCTCCCTCTCCCTCTCTTCTTCTATCTTTCTAAGACGTTCTTTTTCTAGTTCTATCTCTCTTTTCATCCTTTCAGTCTCTTTTTCTTTGAATGTAAGGCTCTCACTAACATTCTTCTCTCTCCTTTCTGTGTTCTCACTTATCTTAACTGGCTGTGTAGTTCTGGGAGTGTCTCCTTTCACTTCCAGGACAGATGACTGAGCAGCTACTATTTTCCTTCCAGTTTCAGCAGACTCTTTTACCAGAGTTGGGACAAACTTATCCTTGTCTTCCTCCTGATTTGAGGCAGTTAAGGCCTCAGTAAAATTTTTTCCTATCTCCCTCAATTCATAAGCAGGTTTTCTTCCTTGCTTTTCACCACTGGAGCCCATGCTCAAGACACTTTTAATTTTCTCAGCGTTTCTTAGTCCAATAATAATTCCAGCTTTCTTTGCACTGTCATCTTGATGATACAAACTAGAGACATCTTCCTTTCTTAATTGGCTTGCTGCATGTTCTAACTCATCCTGGTCCATTCCAGAGAAACCAGATTTTCTATCAAGATTCTCCTCCTCTGTGGTGTCTGATCTCTTTTCACAATCTCTATATTTAGCCCGCATCCTTCCACTGTCCTCAACAAGAACAGTTTTTTGTGCTTTTTCCTGTTCATGACAGATTTTATCAGGACCTCTTCCCAATCTGGCTTTTGCATGGGAATCAAGCTTACATACCTCCTCAGATGCTGTGAGATCTTCACCCCCCATATGCTGATGAGCTCCTTCATCAATTCTGACCTTTTCCCCTAATTTATCCTTCTCAGTTTGCAAGTGCACTTCATTTACTCCTGTTAGTTCATATTCTTCCTGCTCAAGTGTGAGTTTTCTTTTCATTTCATACTCCCCATCCCAAGCCTCCTTCAAAGTTCTGTTGTTATCTTCTAGCTCAAACGCCTCTTCCAGTGGCTTCTCAGTCTCATCATTCTCAAGGTGATCCTGTTCAATTCTATTCTCAATTTCTCCCCTTTCATAGACCAATTTTTGTTTCTTCTCATTATTTTCCTGCTCAAGAACCTGTTTGGATCTTTTCTCATTTTCTTCTTCTGGATAAGTCTCTCTTTCTTTCTGTTTTTCTTCCCATTCAAGAGCCTGCTTCAGCCCCTTCTCATTCTCTAGCTGCTCAAGAGCCTTTCTCCATATCATCTCCCCTTCATCTAGTTCGTCAGCCTCTTTCTCTTTCTTTTCATTTTCTACTAGTTCACAAGCCTGCTTCAAACTCTTGTCTTCTTTTTCCTCCTGCTGATGAGCTCCCTCCATCATCTTCTCATTTTCTGCTTGTTCATGAGCCTGCTCAAGCCTCGTATCATTTCCATCTGACACAAAAACCTCACTTTGTCTCTTCTCACCATCTTTTGTTTCTTGACACTGATTACTTCCTTTCTGATTTTCCATACTTTTACTAGTTTCTTTTCTTAGCTGCTCATCCTCTTTATGCTTCACAGCCTGCTGAACTTCAAATTTAATTTCATTTTCTTGGCCATTTACCTGCTTCTCACATTTTTGTGATTCTTCCACTGCAGTAGGTTTCTTCCCATTTTCGAAAGGCTGGACCATTCTGGATTTCACTTCATTTTCTTCCAGTTTGATAACCACACGAGCCACTTTTCCCTTCTTTTCATGTCCTTTATGCCTGTGAGCCACCCCTTTAGCCGCTTCTGATCTGGCTGTGCTTCCCCCCCTTTCACAAGTTTCTTTTGCTGTCTTCAAGTTTTTCAAAACTTTCTCCAATTGATGACCTTCTCTAATTGCATTTTCTTTACACTGGCTGTCTTCTTGCTGCTTCAATGCTTCTGTGGCTACCTTTTCTGCCTTTAGCTGATGGTCATTTCTTTTTGTCTTCTCAACTGGAACACTACAGTTGCCTGTCTCCACAAAAGCCATTTTTGACTTATCTGTTCTCACCAATTCAAAAAATTGTGTAGCTTCCTGCCATTCATCAGCTACATCAATTTTATCAGACCCTTGAGATGACGGGGATTCCTTTCCAAGTTTCTCATCTGCAGGCATTTTAGCCACATTAAAAGCTCTCTCTTTTTCTAGTGGATTTGAAACTGCCTGTGTATTCTTCATAACTTCTTTTTTCTCCTGCCTAATAGAAGGCTTCATTCCACTATCTTCTACTGTATGACTGCCCTGCACCCTCTTATCTTTTACATTTCTGGATCCATCAACAACGTTACTTAACTTTTCTTTCTTATCTTTGGCATCACTCTTTGAACTTGGTTCCATGCAATTCTGGACAGCTCTCTTCCTATCCATTAGTTCTTTTGCACTTTTCAGCTTCACCTGAGCTTTCTCCATTGCATCTTTCATAGCAGCAGCAGAGGCTGCAGCTGCCGAACTAGAATCTATCTCCACATCAAAGTAAGGTGGTGAATTATTACCAACTGTCTCTCCAGAAGTGGCAGTTTGACTGTCTTCATAGCCTTTACTTTTACTGTCTAGTATTGGTGGTGGTCTACATGGAGGTGGCACCTCAGATGGCTGGGTTTTGAGGCTGATTTCAGAAATTGTTACAAACATCTCATCGGAAAGAAGGCCAACCTTTTCATAGCTTCTATTTGATTCAAGGTTATTTGCAAACACCCCTGCACCAGCATTCCTCTTGGTGGGATGTGATAAGGTTTTCCTGAGATGTTTTACTTTGCCATCATCATGGACATGCGCTGGTGGATTCTTATACTCTGTCTTTTTCAAAGGCACGGTTTCATCAAGTACACAAGTATATTCAGGATTGCTTAGCTGTGAAATACATGTAATCCCATTCGTCAAATCTCTGTTGCTTCTCTGATATGATATGCTGAACTCCATACTGCTATCAATCGGCTCATAAGGGTCTCCATTTGTTGAAAATTGATTCTTTCCAGAGTGATCAGAGTCTCCTGACAGAGATTCATTTTCTGCTGGAATCCTATGAATTAGAAAGAAAATTTCTACCATCAAATTACTATCTCACAAGGATAAATTCAATCAAGATGCAATAAATGACAGTAACTTGTAACAACAGACACTAAAATGTCAAAACAAACACCAAAATGCCACTGCATGTATGCATGCTAAACCTCTGTATCTTAAGAACATTTTATCGATTAAAAGAGAAGCAAACAACAATATTCGAGCCAGGTAGAAGCCCCATTAAAAAACTTGAGTATGAGAGAAAAACTCAAACAGACCTTATTGTCTAGCATTCTAGATCCCCTCCACTAGTTTCCAGCATAATACAGTAAATTCAATCAAAACATAGTTTGTTTTTTTTTTTTTTTTTCCTTTTTTTTTAATGCTAAATTGGCCTCTGGTGTCTGATCTCCCCAACAGAATGTTGATTTTCATCCCAAGAACTACTTCTTATCACCAAAATATATATATATATATACAGAAGATCAGATTCTCTTCAGCAAACCTATACATTCATTAAGATAAGAACAAAAATAAAAATAAACAAAAGAAAGCTTCCCAAACAATCTTCTATCTCCATTGGCCCCGATGCCCAAGCTCAATCTCTCATTTCCAATCTTCCATAACTCAAAACTTAAACCCATTTTTAAGTCACCAAACATAAGTGGAAACTTCAGAGCAAAAATTACAACAGTCTTGGAAAAGAGCTAATAAAAAGTAAAAACCACATTTCGGTAAAAACTAATCAAAATCTAGAAATTTCAAACACAGAACGGAAAACGGATTATACCAAGCTTCTTCAGACGAATCGACATTGAGGTCACCATCACGATCACCACCACCACCATTGGACTGCGTAAACAACTCTTCATAGGAGGTCGCAAAATCCAGGCCGTCCAATCCGCCGAAAACCTCGCCGTAGTCAAACCCACAGCTCCGCACATCAAAGAAAATCTCCTCCTCGTCAACTACGGGAAGATCGAGCACTGGAATCGACGTGGCCAGGGAAACATGGAATCCGCCGAAAATCTCACTGTAGTCCTCTGGCCGAGGAGACAAAGTCGGAACTCCGAACCTCGGCTGTCCGCCATACACGTCATCATACATCGTTTTACCGGCCAACTTGCCGTCATTGCAAGCTTTCTCAGAGAATGTAGAATGATAGCCCTTGTTTGGTGGACGAGAATGCGAAACATTCTCCATAGAAGCCGAGGTTCTAGGGTTATTTCGACTCAGGCTTAGCTGGTAGAGAGCAGAGAGCTGCTTTGTGCTCTGTTTCTCTATTTTCTGCAAGACACAGTCTGCCCAGTCAGAAGGAGGACGACGAAAAAGTGAAAAAATACAAAACACGAAAGAACTTTTAAAATGAAGGAAAAAAAAAAAAAGAGGAAATTCGGAAATGACGAAATAGGGGTTGAAATTAGAAAATTCGGTTGGTGTGGCGTTGCTGTAAATACTCGGCGATTTTTCCGATGCGGGAATTGCCCGTAACCTGTCAGGAATGAGAAATGATTTTAAAATAATTTTTTATTTTTTAATATAATTTTATATATTATTACATAATTAATTTTTTATTTATTTAAAATAAATAATATTAAATATATCTTATTTAATAATATATAAAAATTATTAAAAAATAATATTAAAAAATTATCGTTATACCACCATCTATTATCTAAGATGATTAGAAAATGAGCACCATTAAAAAGAAATTTGATTTTTTTATATTTTAAATATGAAAATAATATAATTGTTTTATAAATTTATAATTATATATTATTATATAATTACTTATTTTTATTTAAAAATTTGTAATTAATATTATATGCATATACTTGTTTAATTAAATGTTATATGTAAATTCATATATAATATTATAATTTTTTTTTTTTGAACAGTGGAAAACTTATGTTTTTATCCGGGGAAAGGGAAGGGACTTGAGATTTGATCCTAAGTCTCATTAGTCTTACGCACGTCTGCAAGAGGTGACCAATAGGCCACATGTGCGGGACATATATAATATTATTGATTTTAGTTATATATAAAATTGAGTTGATTTTAAGATTGACTTATAGGAAAAAAATGCAGAAATATTTAAGAAATTTTAAATACTCATTAATAAATTAATGAATCAAGACGAGTTAGAATTTTTTTTAAATAAATAAAATATGATTTATTAAGTATATTTAAATAATTTGACGAGTATTCTATCTTTTTTTTCATGCAATTTCAACCTTAGTTATAAAGTTTTAAGTGAAATAGAATAATCTTAAAATCCCCCAACTTGACGTATATTCCAATCGAGGCCATCCACTTATTTTCTCATCAAATAAACTCTTTAAAGTCAATTTAGTATTAGTAATACTTAGTCCTTTATATATCAAATGCAATTACATTTCTATCTCAACACGAGACTCCACGTATGAAAGTTAAGGGGTCAATTTAAGGGTTACTAAAGAAAACTGTTAAAAGTAGTAACTTTTCAAAATATCACTAACGACATGTTAGTTCAAGTGGAAAGAACTCAATTCTCTTTAAATAAGATCTCGAGTTCAAGTTTTTTAAATAGAAAAATAAGCGCTGGAAGAATTTCTCACCTAATAGGGTCCGACGCAACCCAATATGATTATTAGATACAGAGAGATTAATACAAAAAAAAACTTTCCAAAATGTTTTTTTTTTTTTTTTGTATGTGTGTTTTGTTTTTTATTTTTATTATTTTTATCTTGGTAACATGTAGTTGGCAAGTTGCTAGCAAATTGTCCTAAAATTAAGTGCAACAACAAGTTTGGCAGGTTCCCAAGTCACTTAGGAATGAGATGAGTGTGAAGGAGAGAAAGTGAGGACAAATAAACATGTTAAGGAAAGGAATGAGGTGAGTGTGAAGGGAACGCTAGAGAGAATGAGGACGACAAGACAAAACACCAACCTTTGTTTGTACGATAGAACATTTTTTTTGGTCATTGGTGCCAGGGTGAGTACGAGTAGGGTAAGGTCGGTTTGTAATGGAATCTGATCTTTTTAGAACTAAAGTCTTCCTTTTTGACCCCGTTCTATACTTTTAGCCTTTCTTCGTTGGTGATAGAGACCAATTTCACAATGTAATTTATTTAAAATTATAAAATTTTAACTAATTTTAATTAATTTTTATATAATTTTATTAATTTTAATTAATATTTTATATATTTCTATAATATTAAAAAAAAAACTATAATTACGGCAGTGAGAAACTAAATCCTTGCTATTATTCTTCTTATTTTTAGATGTAAAGGGTATATGGGAAAAAGTTGAGAAAAAGAGTATGTTGCTATGTGCGGCTTTGGAGGTGAGAGTAGGATCTGCAGATCCAAAGGGAAGAGTCAAGCTGAAGGGATGTAATTGCAAGCCAGTCTGCAAAATAATTGCTTTCATCAATTCCTTTAATTATACCAACACATCAATTTAAAAATCTTGGTTGTAAATTTTCATATCATCATTTGATAGAAAGCAGCAAAAAAAAAGTTAATAATTTAATTCAAGATTTATTTCTCCCAACTGTCACTTAAGAAAAAAATAATTTTAGTAAATCATATTTGTTGTTTAAATTAACCGTTAAAATTTCACTTAATATTTATTAGTAAGGTGATTTATAAGTATTAATGAGATTAAAACTTAATTAGATCAAAAGTCCCGAGTACACATGTTATTCAAAAACAAAAAAGAAAAAAGCAGAACTCTACCAAGTGGCTTAATGACCGTGCGCCTCATTGATGTTGGTGCGTTGTTCATCAGATCTGGGGATCGAATTTTCAATTATTAACATCTAACAATATTAACCTACTAATTATTGTCCTTATCAAAAAAACAAAAAAAAAAAATTATACATGAAAGATACCATCTAAGCTGGTATAGGCCTAAAATATGTTTGATATTCATTAAAAAAATGTTTGATATTATGGTTGGTAAGATGAGGATTTCCCAGCTGTCTGGTCCCAAAGATCATTCAATTTCAATCCATATGATCGTCATTATGTTCTATTCAGTTAATTGAATCTGGAAACTGTTGGACTTGTCCATTAATAGCTCCTTCTTCTTCTTTTTTCCTTTTTTTTTCTGCCATTAATTAGTATTAATTATTCCATCTTGTCAGAAAATAACTATGCTCTGTCTTTTTCACCTATCTGTTCTAATCATTGGATACAAGGAGGAAGAATAGTACTATAGCAAAAAAAAAAAAAAAGAAGTTGCACATGCATGCAAATTGGGTATCCATGATCAAGACCAATCAAGAAAAGATTAGATAGAAAAATTAAATAAGAGGTGAATGGATGGATGGATAGCATAAAGTTCTATCATGAAAGTTTGATGGTGACATGAGATTTAAGCACAGCAGAGAGACTAAATTCTCATCTTCTTGAGGAATTGTCATGAAATAGATTAGCATAATGCACTGTCTTGCCATTTAAGTTTTAACTAAATGACTTACTTTTATTCACAGATTGAACAGAAATAGTTTAATTATAGTATATCATATTCACAAAAAATTAATTATACTTATCACTTAAGAAAGTTAATTCTTGATCCAAAAAATTATAGTTTAGTTGGCAATGGGATTTGCCCTTTATTTATTAATTAAAGTTCAATTTCTTAAAAAAATTAATAAAAACGTAATTTTTTATGAATTTTTTAATTTTAACGTGAATGACCTACCTTTCATTAGATTAAAGAAAAATTAATCTTAAACTATGCACAAATTGATATGAAGACATCTTGAGGTATGCACAAAGTGATCCGAGGATATCTAACCACTATAAAAAAAAAAAAAAAGGGTTAATTCTTGCACAAGTGGTGCCAACGTGCAATACTAGCAGGGGTAGCTGCAGTTAAGTTCAACTGGTCTAGTTATATTCAATTGACTGATCTGAATTTGACCTTCCCAAAATCATAGCCATGACATTACTGCTTGAGTTTTGGTCCACCAGGATCAGCCTTTTAGCATAGCCTACTATAGAGAGAATTTTAAATTTCCTGTTATTTTCCATCCCAATTCAACAGGAAAAGGATTAAAACCCTTTTGTGTCCAATCATTCTATGGTCCTTTGTTCAGTTAATCCATAGTTGGATAAAATAAAGGATGAAAACTAGGCTTTTGTATACCCAAAATACAAAGCAACAATTTTCTTTTTTTCCTCTTTGTCACAGGTAACAAACATTTCTTTTGCTGGTTCAAAGATCCAAGAAACAGAAAGCACAAAGGCAAGATTCTATCTTTTTGAGGAAATACCCTTGGTGCCTATTTTTTCAGTTTCTAAAGATTTTCTCTGCTACAAAAATTGAAACTCCAAACATGCTGTTCAGAAGCCAATTTCTTGACATTAAACTTTAGAATTTGGTAACTTTTATTAATTTTTTAAAATCTTTTATGATTTTTTAACATGAACTTATGTTTTAACATTTGGACAAAATATATGTACTTAACCACAGTGGCTCAATTGTTGTTAATGAACCAATGACTCTGTTTTGCTCTTTCTGCATGGGTGGCTGCTTCTGTCAATTTGGCTGATGATTTTGAAGAGAAAGTTGTGTTGTTTGAAAATCGCAGTTGAGGGGCCCCTTCTACAAGCTATCACCCAATTCAAAGAAGGCAATTTTGGGGCCACCTTGTTTGCCACTTTACGTTTGTCTCTTCGCATCCTCCAAAAGCTCAAAGTAGAAAATCATCATTCCTTTACCAAATAATGTAATTTTCATAATCAACACACACACATTAGTCTTATTAAATCTAATGTAATAATGCAATTAGAAATAGAGACAAATTTTTAACTCCAAACTTGAATTTACTAACAAGTAAATATTATTTTATACGTCATATACAAAGTTTAAGTTTTTAAATAAATATTTAAAAAATTTATTTTTTAATGTATTATGTCAATGTAAGAGTTTTAAGAAATAATTAATCTCAAAATATATAAAAATTTATAATGCATGATGACCATAAAAAAAAAAGAAAAAAAAAGAAAAAAAAGAGAAACAAGTTTATCTTTCAAACCCGGAGTACATTTTTAGGCAATTATAAGACAGAATAATTTGTTTAATGAATTTGATGACAGATGTTTTTGATTTGTATTATTGTCTAGAAAATCAGGCGTTGAAATATGGGTTTGGTAAGGCATCTACTGAATTATTATGCTTTTTTGGGAATCATTGTAGAAATAGTGACTTGTTATTATGATTAATAAAATTAGAGTACGAATTTACGTTTGTATAAGTTTTATATGTTATATTTACATAAATTTTTTTTTATTTTTAGTAATTGAGGATTATTCATATTTATTAAAAATATTTTTTAATTCAAAAAATCATAATAAATCTCAATTATTAAAAATGAAGAGATGATTAATCAAAATTTTATAAAGCAATATTATAAGAACAATCAACTTTCACATATTATTAAATAAGTAGATATATTTAATATCACAGGTTTCACATAAATAAAAAAAATCAATTATTTAAATAACATATCAAATTATACAAAAAAATAATATAAAAAAATTAT